AAGAAGAAGAAGAAGAAGAAGAAGAAGAAGTGGGTCGCGGAAAGAAGTTTGGGGACCCGAACCCGCGGATGGTCGCGGGTAGAGGAATCCCATCATCTCATCTTCAGGACTGGCCGGGAAGATGGTCAAGCGCTGTCAAGTAGTAACTTTTTAGTGTTCTGCATACATACAGCTTCCAAAGGAAGGCTCCAATCAATGAAATCAAAGAAGATCAAAGGAAGGCTCCACACTTTTTGTCCTCGAGCAAAGGAGAAGGCTCCAATCGAATGGTCAACGAAGATGATGGATGACTGGGGCAAAAACATGGTCGGTTGGAGGGCTATTGGGTTGATGAGAACATAGAGGGTCAGACGTCAGATTGAACTTATCTAACCACCCTGTAATTAGTAAGACACAATCGACGTCCCCCGGTGGTGTACGACCAAAAGAACCAGCCTGTCTCGGTCCAACATCACATGTCTGGCACCTTCCCGCAGGTCGGGACTTTTTGGGGCCAAAAACCAATGTGTTTTTCCTGAGGAGCAGGTGATGCAGAAGCTTGAGATGATGAACGAGAACATGCAACGGCAGTTGGAGACCACTCAGGAGAGCGGCGCGACGCAAACCTCCGACCAACCTGTGCCGGGGGTGTCCCAGGTCAAACAGAAAGAACAGCTGCCAGTAGCCGCTGGTGTTGCTTGCAGGTGGAGGAGACAACATCATTTTGTAGTTTCTGACCAGTTATATACTACATCCAGCTATCTCAGAAGACGACCGGCCTGAGGATGTTGTTTCTTTCTCCCCAGCGACGGGTCTCTCGACCTGAGACGAGAGATCACCAGACCTGAGACGTGAGACGAGAACGATGTGGCAAGCTACATCACTCTGAACCTGCTATAATCGATAAGGATTCATCCGGGGTTGCACCTACCTTTTCAGGGCAACTATGAAGGGACGAAGAACAACAATATGGCAACCGACATCACTCTCTCTCTCTCTCTCTCCGGGTTGGTGTCATGAGTCTTGACTTTCTTTTGTCCTTCTGCCGCGGTGGACCCACGCTTCACCCAGGCCGGCTCGGTGTCGTGTTTTCCCTTGCAGGAAGCCATCTCGCAACGAATGGATTTCTCACAGGCGGGGGAGAAGCAACTGAACAGAACCACGAGGAGTGCATCAGACGTGTCCCGCACGCAGTGCACGAACGTAGCTTCGTGTTACGTCGTGTTACGCACGTAGTAATTGTGCGGCCACCATGAACCTACTAGGGATGGCCTCCAACCGGAAAAGTCGCTTCTTAGTTACTTGTTTTTTCACACTTCCAAGCTCCATGCATCCTGGAAAACAACTGTAAGCCGAGATCATCGGGTCCGAGAACGGGGGGTCCGACTGAGTTGATGGAGTTTGATCGGTCTGATCAAAAGCCTCCTTGTTTGGCAGTCTCTTTTTTAAAGGCCTCCATGGTCCACTTCCATCTTAGTAAATCGGAGTGTATCCAACCTAGCTAGCAGTCATTGGATCGCTTCCAGGGCAATCCCTTCGAATTTGGACAGAGAACCCTTTGTGCCTTATTCTCCTGGACTTGTTCATTTTGAAACTTGGAGGTTTTGCGTCCACATCCCATGGAAGGCCTTTTGCTATATTGGTTGATTGATTCCCAGAGGGGATACCCCCAAGTGAACAACCAATAGGTAAAGGACCCCCCTCGATTTTTCCAAAAGGAAGTCTTTGGAACAACTCGTGGAAATCCGGATGCCAGCTGTCCTCGCGCAACCCCCCGACCAGCCTGGCGCTCGTCGACCGGTTCGTCTGGTGTTTCACCCCGAAGCCGAACGACGGAGCGAGCTTCGGGTGATCCGGGGCCTCTGAGCCTCTTCGCTGATGGCTGACCCCTGGACGACCCGAAGCACTCATCACGGCAGTGAATAGCGAAGAAAGGCACCAGCTGGTGGATCTGAGAGAAGCAGTTGGCCGTCTCTCAGACCAAGTGATACCTGGTATCGAATGGTATATATAGTTGATTCTAACCAAAGACTTTGCTACTCCAACTTGCCCAAGTTGCGATTGATCGACCTGATGACTTCGTTTTGGTGGAAGCATCACCTGTTGTCTCCACGTGAAAGACACACCTCAGGTCACCTCCCTCATTGGTCGCCTTTCTGCCACATTTGTCAAGAACATCAGCAGCAAGTTGTTCACGGCGCGCACACGGTTCCGGTTCGAATCTGCCAAAGGCGCCCCCCTGCCCTGGTTAAACCGGCTCGGATTCTGCCCAACGTCTCCCGCTTGGCCAATTCTGACCTGGTGGGAACAGGTGGCCATCTTGCAAACCGTGAACGCCTGCCAAGTCTTGCTTCACAAGTTGGATTCCAGCCAGGCGCTGTGGGCGGTGTGCGGGTCGTGGTGGGCAGTCCCGTCGTTCGCTGCTTCGAGCCGCGGATTTCCCCTGGGGGGGTCGGTTACCGGCGCCCGCCCATGGATGGGTTCCCGGTTTGGGGTGGTCGGTTTGGGGGAAATGATCTGGAAGGATCTTGAGGTGGGAATCACCCCAAACACCGCATCAAGCAATCTCCGAGTTAGTGACATGATTCACAACTCAGCAGTACTAGGCTTCTTGACCGTTGTAGAACCAACCAACTCCTGGGGCCTACCTCACCTAACGTCGGGTTTGGCTGTCCCATCCCTTGGGCTCCCCCCGTTCGCCCCGGGGCTTCCGTTCGCCTCGGCGGACCCCCGGGACCGTCGGGCCTCAGGAAAGTGTGGTGCAGAAGATGGACTCGATGAAGGCGGGAGACGAAGAGCCGCCCGAGCTGCCGGGGCGGGGAGGTTGGTGGGGTGGGGCCCGGACGTTCTTTTTCGGTGGCACCGGAGGGTTGGGAAGAACGAGCAATTTGGTTCAAGAACCTTTCTGGCAGTTTCCATACTTGTTAAATTCCGTATTTTTGGGTGGACATTTATAGTTCAAACTCCTGTAGCAGCATGCATACCCTTCCCCCAAGAATGTCGACATAGGATTCACTACGGTAATCTACGATGAATGTCTTCGTAGTTGTCCGGGAACCGGAGAGAAACCGTTGGGATCGCTCTCGGTCGCCGGTCGCCGCTCCCCTCGCTTCGGCTCGGAACCGACGACGTACAGCGCGACGGTATGGCACCGACGTATGGGCGCGTATGGCGCGACGTATGGCAAGGGCGTATGGTGGGGGGCCGCCTCCCCCCATCGCCCGAAGGGGCATGGCTGGGATCGGTGGAGTCAGAATGGACCAGCAGGTTTGGGGGGTTTTCCGTCAGTGAGTTCAAGCTGCTCAAGTTAGCTGGGATCACACGAGCCATGGGTTTTGTTGCGGCAGATACATCGAAAGCCTACGTTACGTTGCGTCGAGTCCAGGTGAGCGTGGACAACCTCCTGAACCATATCACAGGCTCAGACAATGCCGTTTTTTCATGTTATTTTTTCGGCGCGTTTTGGTTGGAGATGTTGGAGGGTCGGAGACCTGTGCGCTTGGACGGACATGGCGTCTTTATGCGGTTCCAAATCGATCAAGGGACTAGGAGATGGACCGAAAGTCTAGTGAACGAACGCTGTTGGCGCAACTGATTTCGGCCCCTGGTCCTGGTGTTGAGCGATCTCTTGCAACACACGGCCATTTTGCAGACAGCCTTCCACGCAACCCCCCAATTCCCCGTGTCGGCAAGCTGCAGCTGTTCTACACAGGCAGATCTCGAGTGGAGCGGATAGAGATTCACAGTTTACAATAGTTTACAACTGGACTCTTCATCATTTACTTCTCCTATACTCATGTAGACTCTTGATTAGTAACCCCGGTGGTCTTTCTTCATCAAGAGTCTAAAGATGTCTGGAGCCACAAACCAGCACGGGCACACTCCAAAGCACACACTCCGTGGCGACCTCCACGACGGGCGCTCGCGCTCGCGCAGGTGCCAGCGATACCACGAAGCAGGCGCTCTTGGACACCGCTCCGACACCCAGAGGGGCGGGTTACGGCCTTCGCGAGTTCCCGGCCTCCCCGGGTTCGGAGCACGGTCCCGGGTCGGCAGGTCCCGGTGGTTCCTTTTCTGCTTGTTTTCCTTCGGCTTCCTTTGGAGAGCGTGTTACTTTTTATTTTTTTAAAGGGTTTTTTCGTTTTTTTGCCATCATTCTGGGTCCTCTTTTTTGACCTTGTCTTGATTGAAGGGTTTTCAACGATTCCTGTTGAAGGGACGGAACGTTCTGACAAAGATTCACCCAAAAGAGGGCCGATCGCGGCCATCCAGGTCTTACTTTGGATATCTGGCTGTATTGACCAGGGAAATTTGGCAGAATATGGGAGAGCCAGAAGGCCTCAGACACCTCGCCAGTCGGCCTGATTCACCGTTGCGCCTCCCCATCGCCAGTTAGGAGAGAAGGTGACCTGCGGGTCCGGAGTGAATGCTCCGAGTGGGAAAGTCTTGTAGTTTTTCTCAGGCCCAGAGAAACACTAGGGCTGGTTGGTACTCCCAGAGTAAAGTCTTGTAGTTTTCCTAGGTACTGGACCGTCTGGTCCGGTTGTCTTACACTTTTCTCGGATGGAGTACCGCAGAACAGACTCGTTGGTGCTGGGCCCTGCCACCGATACGGTGGTGACCAACTCCTCCCGCCGAGGTGACCAACTCCTCCAGCGTTTTGCTGCAGAAGTTGGACTCCACCCAACAGGCATGGGGTGCTGGGACATGAGAGGGTTGGCCAAGGGATCTGATCTGGGTCCCGGCAACCTGGGAGGCGGGGCGGACTTGCTCCAGAGCCTTGGTGAAGGTAAAGTTGGGTGAAGAAGCTTGGAGGATCTAGAGATGGGGCAGGAGTTCCGAAATGTATGATTAGGGGTGAAATTGATGGTGCATTCTTTGATCCGAACGTTGAGGTGTCACTGTTCACTGGCATCCAAAAGTTCCCTGGGCCGCTGTTTCGGGCCTTTTGGTGTTCATGGGCATTGGATCCCGTTCAGGCGGTCCGGGTAACCACAAGCTGCCAGAAGCTGCATTCGGTTGCGTAACCGAAAGTGGTTGCGCCGCCATTTGCTGCCTGAAGAGGTGTTGGTTGATTCAGTGTTTGGGCCTCTTACGCCATGTCATTGTGGTCAAGGGCGGAGCTCATGTAATGGAAGATGACCACTTATTCCACCAAGTGGGGTTGAACACTCCGGAGAAAGCTGACCAACCAGCATCCATGTCAGACGAAGAACTGCGCACTGCGCCAGGACCCGCAAAACCAGGTCACCACCTGCAACCCTTAGATGCCATAGATCTCATGTATCCAACCAGCTCCATCTTGCAGAAGCAGCTCCATCCTTCCATCCGTCGTTCCCTTAAAGCCCTTGGGGCGCCCTGCTCCATCCGGCTTCGTCTAGACGAACCGAACCACGTCTCGACGCACCGAACCGAGTCTCGGGGCGGCCCGATGGGGGGGGGCGGGTCGTTCGGCAGGATCTGCTCAAGCAGTCCACTGACAGTTTCAAGGTGCTGGAAGGCGTGGCGTCGAAGCAGGAGCGAAGGGACGGTGACGGAGGGATGGAGATGGGAGGGATGGAGCGAGAGGTTGGTGAGGGAGATGGGAGCGAATGGGTTACCTTGGGGATGGGCGGAAGATTTGGATAGATTCTGAGCATCCCTCCTGTGTGTGCGCGTGCACGCGGTCAGAAGATCATGTTGTAACCAGGTGAAATCTGGCGTCTCAGGAGAAGTCCAGACTTCCTTTGACCACCTCTCCGTAAGTTGGGAAGTCCAGGAAGTCCAGGGTGGTCAAATGTTTTTCAGTCAGTCTTGGGTGGGAGCTCTCAAATGAGACTGGGTGGTTGGGAACGCCTGCGGCAGGGTGGGAGCTCTCAGGTCAGAGGCCATGAAGTCAGCGTGGCGGAGGTGAGCGGACTTGTCCTGGTGCACCCGACGTAACGCATGTTCCTACTGCAAGCGACGTAACGGGAAGGCGGAAGATGAGGGAAACTCCATCAAGGCGGGTGTCATGTTCGCTGTTTTGGAGCAATCCTTCAGAACATGCGCAAACGAGGCCTGGGGGGTGGAAGCAAAAACGTTATTTATTTTTTCTGCGCGGAGAGCTCCGGTGGTGGTTCTCGGTAGGTCTTCGAAGTGCGCCGGGGAACACCACGCGTCCCGCTGTTGCTGCCTTTTTTGGGCCGCAGGACGTCTTATCCAAGAAGGTTGATTCAGGCGGGTGGTGAGTTTCGAGTTTCCAGGTGGGCCAGTAGAGCGATAGGTGTTGAGGGCGAAGGGTGTCTGAAACAGGCTTGAAAGGCCACTCAATTGATCTGGCGAATTGTAGCATACAGTAGTTAAATGGGTCTGTCTCAATCCTTCGAACAGTAAAGACTTGCACGTTCTAGTTCAGAAAGATGCTCTTCAATTCACATTGACAGCAATTTTTGTTGCATGTCAGTTGAGGCCATTTCGGGGATTCTCTCAAAGAAGACCGTCCGAACCGAACTGGTCCAAACTCCATGTATTGCTAACATTTCCTAACAGTTGAGTGGTGTGCAAGATATCTTTGGTTCCTTTCCTGCTATAAAAGCAGGGAGGAGATGCTCCCAAACCAACACAACCACCTAAAACCTCATCCGATTCGAAGGGATTCACACCATCAGGAAATCGGTATCTCTTCAAATCCTTTTTGGCCCTTGTACTTAGTACATTGGACCACTTCCTGAAAGCATCATGGAAGTGGAGTGCAAACCACCAGGTCCCGTTTGGCCTTCGGATTTCGTGGTCGTCATCCTTTGGGGGCGATGCCATCCACGTTGGCCCAGTCTCGTGAAGTTCTTTCCGAGTACTTCAGGGAGACCACTGGTCATCCGGTACTTCAGTACTCGAGTACTCAGCATGTGTTCGTCGCTACCTCCGCTCCGACAGCTACCGAGACGTCGTGGAGTGCCGGATGCGACTTCGGAACCCGATGCGACGGCGACCTTCCTTCAGGCAACGAGTTCACACAGCGTCGCCTGGTGGAGATGGAGGCACTTCCGTCGTTTTTTGGAACTGTGTTCCGCGCAGATGAAGGACTTGTAAAGGATGAAGTCAATGATGAGTTGGAGTGTTTTAGTATCTAGCTGGTGCTCAGGAGGCAGCAGGGAGGTGGGGAAGGGAGCCAAGGAGCTACATGAGGGAATTCCCCTGGGCCCTTGCCGAGTCATTCGTGAAATGTTCATTTTCTTTCTGAAAGCGGTTTCACATCCGCTTGGATGTTCATGGTTCTGGCTTGATGTCCATGGTCACGGTCAAGGTCCATGTTCATCAAGGTCGCTCGCTCACCTCGTTTGGGAGACTTGAAACAAAAAAGGGGCCGCGTGGCATGCCTCTTTTTTTGGCCCGCAGCTGGCATGCGGCCAGAATGCATCGTGGCAGCTGGCAGGAGTCCGCACTCGTTTTTTGTGAGAGATGATGGACCTGTCTCTTCGCTGAAAGGACCTGTGACCCTTGACCTTTTGGTTCTTGACCAGCCTTGACCTTTTGGTCCCTCACAACGGGTGAAGCTGTGCCGCCTTCGGAACGCGGCCGTCGACTGCGCTTCGCGCCTTGCAGAGCACCATGGACCGCAAGATGACCGAGACCAGTGACTCTGTGTGCAAGGCACAAACTGACAGCCTCTCGCCGTGAATATGGCCTGCGTTTTGATATTCTCTTTCGTTGCGCGGCTCCCCCAATTGGAAGAACACCTCATGAGGGAGTGTTATTTTGCTGTAATTTGAGGGGCCCCATCTGCAGATACAATTTCCTAGACGGTGGCTCCACCCAACTTGTCAAAGTTGCTTGTTTATGAGCAGATACCAGGATTCTCATGTTCTTCCAAGTGCCCAGACTTCTTATGTGCGACCACTTCAGCGCCCCAGCGGCGATGTGTGTTGAGGCACACAGCACTTGTTGGTGAATCTCCGCGGCGACCTGGCCAAGCTGGCAGAGCAGGCAGACATTGGGCCAATTCGACATGGGTGCAGTGCGTGGGGGTGGTGTGATGGGCAAGGTTGGTTTGTTGTGATGCCGGTACGTTTATTGGATGACGGTGGGTGGAGGACGGTTTCGGTGGGTGGGTTTGATGCGATGCCACATGGTTTCAATCAAGAGTTCATGGCTTGGGTTGCGATGTTAACGGTGAATTCGGAGGGTGAGGAGTGAGGAGCGTGAGTCACCCTCTTCTGTGGTACTTGGGCGGACTACAAGAGCAAGAGCACCACCATGGTACTCCAAAACACATCGGGGAGGCCACGAACGTATGGTTTTGTGCCAGCATGTGCATTTAACGCTCCACGCCAGCCCATTCAAAAGCCTCTATATAAGACCTGCAAACCGGCCAGTTGACACTGGACATGATCTGGAAATCGGGGAGAGAATGATCACTCTCCAGTCGGATTTTTTTTCTGAGCTGTCGGATTTCTCAGTGACATTTCTCGGAATCCTTTTGACGTGACTTATGAACATGTTTTCTTCGGAAGCTCCGCATTTTTTTGTCAGGGCAATGCCATGGTCGACGCCACTGAGAAGTCTTCCGCTGTGCAAGAGGCCGCGGGTCGAAACGGGTCGAACGGTGCGGGCGGAGGTCCGGGGCGGCGGAGGTCGGGCGATGTCTGGGCGACCCCGGTCCCCGAAAAAAGGGTCAGGAAAGCCGGGTTGAATGATTCTGCCAAATGGCACCGTCCGCAGTCCGTTTTGGTTGGTAGCAAAAGGAAGCGGCAGGGAACTGCCTGGCATCCACCTCTCAGACCTCTGGGAGTGGGTAGCTGGCACTGGCAGGAGCGCATGGCTGACGTCCGCCGCCAGAACATGCTCCTGGGCCGGTTTCGGATGGGTAGCAAGTCGAGAGGTTCGAAGATCGGTCAGCGGAACGAGAGATTGAGATAGAGGCAACTAAACATCAATGTAGTAAGTGTTTTCGTTTCCCTCTACCACTATGTAATATAACATGTAATATGTAATAATAATGAGCAAGTCAACCCCCTGGAAAGAAGAGGTGTTTCAACACTGCTTGCGTGCCTCATTTTGATTCATATCCTCCCAATAAACTAACATGGGTCCCGAAAATTCTCCCTGTTTTGCAGAGGTTTCTGAAGATACTCGGCCCGACCAACCATAGGAGGAGATGCCCCAAAGAATTGAGGTGAAACATCGAGAGAAAAACCATGGAACACCAAGGTGTTCCGCACCACGGAGGTTTTCCCTGAGGTTTTCCCAATCCACCCGGATCAACAGTGCTGAGGATGATCATGGACATGTTGACTAACGCCCAAGAGACCATGCACACCAGTGCCGAGTCCCTGCAATCCTTCACCCGCTCGGAGCGGGATCAGGGCTGGGAGGGGTTGGGGTTGGGGACTGGTGGGCGTTTGCGGTGGTGACTTGAGCAGTGGGCGTTGATGGTGGACCTACACCTTACCACACCTCAAAAAATACCAGATTGATACCATGAATCTGTTTTCTTCAGACTTTTGACGGTTTTCCTGGTCTTTGCCGGACTGCTCCTGGACGGTACTGGTCGGTGTCGGCTTTTGGTCCCGGTGGCGATGTGGGGGGGTTGGTGTTCTTTGTTGATGGACCCCCTACATGGTCCTTGAAAGCCACTGGTGCAGCTAGAGGAAAAGAGTCTTGACAAAGGTACACCGCGGAGGTGTTTTTGTTCCCAGAGCTTTTTGCGTCCTACACCCACCCCCACACCTTCAATAAGGTGGTCCAAGCAGCGGGACGAAAGGGAACTGGCCAGCGGGGACCATGCACCGAATCGGCCCGAATTGAGAGTTTTGTGTGGTTTGACAGCACTAGATGCGCTGAACTTGTGATGACTCAGACTCGTGAGCTCTCCTCTCCTCCAGAGGAATTGGTTGAGGTTGGCTCAGCCGGTGTTTTTTCCGTTTTGATTCCATGGAGATGTAACGAGCCAACCCACCATGCTCGGTCCAATCCAGTTCGTAACTTCGCCTGCATTCGACCCAACCCGACGGTTCGCCTGGCGGTCTTTCTTGAGACCTCCCCCGACGACCACCAGGAGATCATGCGTGACTCTGCCACCAACATGGAGATGCAACTGCGTGAGGCGGGTGGCGGGACACGAGAGCCGCACCGGGACCGCGACCGGGACCGGCGCGTTGCGAGATGGGAGACATGGCCACGGTTTCGGGAGGATGGCACTATTAGCGCCCATGGAAGCACCATCAACGTCTCTTCCACGGCCATGACCCCTAAATCAAGACATTCAAAGGATAACAGTAATATATGTAATATATATATATATATCTATAGACATCATTTTGTTTTCAAGAGTGTTTGAGTGTCTGAGGATTCTTAAGAGATCCTTTCTATCTATGTGAGACCTAAACAAACCAGGGTTTTAAAGTTCTGATTCTGGTGGGTTCTGAGTGGGGGGAAAGGGTGATCATCCCACCTATTGACTGGACATGGCAGCCTTGCTAATGCATCGGCCAGGAGCCTTGAAGGATGGCAGGTGCCAGCGTCTCACCAGTTTGTTTCCACCCCCTCTCCCCACCCTAGTTTAGAAGAATATTGTTGTTGCAGGGAAACCTTAGCCGGTTGTCAAAACTGAACCGTGGCATGTTCATCATCAAATGTCGAAACTGACTGGTCGTGAGCAACGGCAACACTTTTTATCTTGTGCCATTGGTAGCAACAGGTTCTCGTCCCATCCGCATGCCAGGTCATCGTCAAGCAAATGGGCAAGATGCAGGAGACCGCGGCCGTAGGGTCTTGGACTGGTGTGCCAGTAGTGCTCAGTGATTGCAGAGGTTTTCCATGCTACACCGGGTATTTTAGCTTTTCCGACCACCAACAACCCAAGAACAGCTACAGACTATAGATTGTAGTTGCTTGGCTCCAGTGACCGTAAACACCCAGTTTTCATCTCATTCATAGCTGTTCTTTCAATCTTGGACGCTACATCGTGCCTGTTGGTGTGTGTGGAGTCCTCGAGACCAGCATCAGGGCCACGGAAATTCGCTTCGGTGCGGTTTTGCAGGAAGCACTCCTGGGTGGCGATGAAGACGAAGGCAAGGGAACCAACCTCAAGGCCCGGAGCTTCTTCTCGCGGATCCGCGCCGTGGGCCCACTGGGGCCCCCTGTGGGGCCGTGTGGCATGTAGATCATCCCTGTGGAGCTCTGCATGAGGCCCATGTAGATCATCCCTTGGATGTGCAGAGGAAACGTGCAAAAAACACTAAGAAGATTGGGTCTGCTTGCTCTTCCACAAACCCTGGGACTGTCTCGGCTTTCTGATCCCAGGTCCCCAGACTGCATGGATTTTACGTGGAGATGGACCATGTGTCTTGCCCCAGACTGACCCCCAAACCGTGTAATTGGTTCACTGGATTGTCACCTACACCCAGACTTATGACCCAGAAAGTGCATTTGGTTCCCGACATCCTTTTTGAGGCCCATCTTGTAAGAATAGCGTGGGAGAGGGTATCTATATCGCTATATATATATATATAATGAACCTCAGTGGGCAAGTAGGTCTCCTGCTGATCACGAAAAGCATCTGACCCGTTGGCGGCACCCGCCACCACCGACCCTCGCCCCAGTCGGCGGTGACTGCGATGGTGGAGCGCTTGGAGGACTGGTGCTGGACGACGGACGACCGGACGCCTGCGCTGGGAGTTGGAGCACACGGCACGAAAAGGCATAAACATGTACTAGGACCACCTCACCGAAAAGGCGAGGAGGACTTTCGTTGCAACGTTTTGCTTCCGTATGATCTTGATGGTGGGGAAGAGGAGGACTTGGCTTCAAGTAGTCTGTGGCTTCAAGCAGTTCAGGTTCTCAGTGAGGATCCACAGTGGAAACTCAGCGTGCGTCATCCATCCGTGGAGTTTGCCTGGCGCCCCCCAGGTGTAGACGGAAGACAGATATATGGCTACCAAACCCCTACTACTTGACTACCAAGCCCGTCGAACTCAGAAATCCATCGAGAAGTGCTCCAAGAGGCAGCAGGCACCAGAATGCCAGAAGACAATGGAAGAAGCCTTCACTAGGTCACGTTCGCTGCTCGACGACACACATATCGATCACTGCATTCATGCAGGGCTTTCGTTTCCTTATGATTGTTGTCGCAAGTGCCGTCGCACAGTGCGCGCCCAAAAGTCAGTGTGTCCAAGTCGTGGCCACGGAAACTGCGCCAGGGCACTTACTGGGACGTTTTTTTTTCTCCCTTATTTTTCTTCGCGCTGCAACGCTTTCGTGCTGCTCAGATCGGTCTCTTCTAGTGAGTTGATCCTTTTTTAAACTTCCAACGCATCACGTGGAGGTGAACAAACGAGTTGAGCAAAAGGGAACTTGGTAAGAGTTTTTTTCTCTACAAAAGAACAAAAGTCTAAAGTATTCACCAAAGCAAGTCATGACATGTGCTCTCGAGCAGAGCTTATCAGGACAGTGCCCAACGTTTGGAACTGGCTACAGCCACTGGAGCACAAGGCCAAACGTGTCGGGAGAATGATGGAATGGCTGAGGGGGTTCTGACTATCTATGTTGTATGTATATATATAGATTATGTGTCTAATATGTATAAACATATATAAATCCACACTCACACCCAAGAACATCACAGAGTTGCATATGAGTGGCAGCATGTCCGACCTACAGTCCATTGACCCTGCACCCTAAACCCTAGTCGGCTCTACTAGGCCAGTAGGAAACATTAACATAGAGGTTTCAACCTACTAGGCTAGTAGGCCACCTCATTGAGCATGAAGAACAGCTTCGTCAAGACTTGCCATTAGTCGCCCCTCAGTGTTACGCTCCAAACTTGATCATCTCATCGGATGGGAGCCTTCCAGACAAAAGTTTCATAGAGCAAAGCTCGAACAAACGATCTGGAATAGAACTGGAATAGAACATTCCAGTTTCATGTTCATAGAACTGGATTTCAAGGATCTCAATATCCTCTCAACCATAGCTATGAACATTCCAGTTACGCAGTCACCGTCCGTTTTTCACGCCTCAGTGGCAAAACCTCTTCGAGTCTGGAGCCTGAAAGTGCCAAGAACTCGGTGAAGAAATCCGCTTTTGGTGGTTGGATCCCCCTTTTCTCGACCTTTGCCCATTCCCCCGGCTCGGCGTCCTCGCTCAGGAGGCGGATCTGCCGAGATGGAGGTGTGAGTGGGGTGTGAGTGGGGTGTAAGGAGGTGCAGTGGTGAGGTTTGAAGTGGGGAAGCCCTGCATACGTATTTTTTTGCGTGGTTCGAGCGGGCCTATTGGAGAGGCGTGACGGTGTTGTCCTTTTCGACCATGGGTGCTGAGCGCGGTCGGTCGAGGAGCAGAGACACGACGAATTCAGCAGAAGTTTCAGGGTTGCTTGAATTGTTGGACCCAGGTTAGTTCCTATCAGGTGTGCCTCCTGATAGGGAGACTTGGCAGACAGACCCATGAAGTAATAAGATGGGGAAAGAACGAAGGCATCTCCGCGTTTCACCCATGCATTGGTTTTCTTTGCTCCCCGAAACCGACATGGGGTCGTTGGTTGCTCTCCTCGTGGCTGCAGCCCCGATCTGATCATTGTCATTGCTTTGAGGATTCACCCCGCAAAAAATGGCGCAGCATAAAACCTCGTCATAGACCTTGTGACCTTCTATTTTACGATGCATTTTCCCTAGTGCCATTGGTATAGTCATTACACTGGTCACTCCCCTTCAGCTGTTCCAGCTTCCGTCAGCCTGTTCCAGCGGGTCAACGCGTCCCTTGCAGGACTTGATCCGACGGGAGCTGGGTGCAGTGGCCTTGGCTTTGTCGCAGCAGCAACGTGACACCGCCCAAGAGAGCATGGTGCAGGCGAGAGAAGTCCGGTCGACCATGGGTTCCGTGGGGTTGGCTTGGATTCTTTTGATGGGTCTAAAAGCAGCAGATCGTTGATTCAGAATGATCTTTCGGATCCATGGAAGGTCTTTGATTTGAGGTCTCTTGATCGTGGAAGAACTTTTTAGCTTACCTGGAAATCTGGAAACACAAACCACCAGAAACAAATGAATGTTTCCCCAAACAGCCACTTGTGATGTAAAAGGATCTCAATTGATATTGGAACAACCATTTGAGCCTGTTCGGCGCCTACCACGTCCTCCCCCCACGGTCGCTCCGTCACCTTTTTCACCTCTTCTCCATGTGTCGCCGGTCTCGCGCAGGTGGGCGAGACAGTACGTGGAGAACTCTCAACCTTCAAGGCTCCGGGGAAAATGCCGTCCCTGTGAGTCGCCGCGGCAAGAGGGACTTCGCGAAGATCGGCAGACAACCTGCGAGAGATCGGCTTCGGTAGGAAGAAGTGACGGATCGCTCGCAGGATCACCCCACTCATCGGCCGGATCGCTTTTCTGGGACGTTCGAGTTGCGCCCGTGAAAGTCCCAGTCGTAGCCACATAGCACTTGAAACAGAGCCCGAAATCGCTTTGGAAGGGTTGCTTGGAGGGCAGGCAGGCTATTTGATATCTCCTATGATACAGGGGGTTGAATCAAAATTGACCATGCCAAGGAACATCACCAAGATCCTTCATGACCTGCAAACTATCTTGGTGTACGTCCGGGTTTCTCTTTCAAGGGGCCCAAATCCCTCCGCAGCCATGGGTTAATACTAAGTTAATACATGTTAATACCATAAACCTAATCCGAGATGTCCCAACTGGCGCCTCATAATCGAAAATGAAGGGAACATGACCTACCAATAGGTCACCACAACTCTTTCACCCCGGGCGTCTCACGCGAAAGCTTCGGCTTTCTGCCTTCATCCGCCGGTCTGGCGTCTCGGCGCTTTCGGCTGAAACCTGCGGCCCAGGAGGCGCAGGTGGGACAAGTCTCGGAGGTGGTCACCGTGAAGTTGTCCGAGTTCTCTGACAAGTTCAGCGCCTCGGCGAGCGAAGGGAAGTGGTCAGCGGTGCGGTCGGAGCCGGTGCGAAGGGGGGGGGGTTGCGGTGCAGCTGTGAGTGATTTCAAAGAGGTGTGGCGGTGGTGGGATCGTGGGATCAAACAAGCCGAAAGCGGCCTACGGGCGACCCCCGCCACTTCTCAAGATGAAAGAATGATAAGACTGGAAGGGGGACCAGGTCTAGAAGGATTGAACGCAGCTTTCGTTTGGCAATCCCTTCAGACCAAGAACCATGCATTACAGTCGTGCGTCTCCTGGAAAGCCACGCTGTCCTCGTTCTTCCCGTCCCGCCACCGACCCGGTGCTTTCTCCCGCCACCGACGTCGGGATGTTCGTCCGGGATCCGTCTCGGATCTCCGGCGCCGAAGCGGGCAGGGGTTTCAGTCCCCCAAGAAGGCTCTGGTGAGCTGGTGCCAGTCCGCCCATCCCGATTCCCGGGAAGTGAGGGCAAGTGAGGGGGTTGCAGGGGGTTTCAGACTGGGCTCTGGTGAGCTGGTGCCAGTCTGAAGCTCGACTCAGGACCATCGGCCTCACCCGGTCTCAAGGCCTCGAGATGAGCCGACCCTCACCCGCCGCAGCCGCACACCCGCTCTCCTGTGAAGGTGAGAACATCCAGCGCATTGAGAGTGGAGTTGACAAGGCGATGGCATCGGCGACCCGGTGTGTGCTGAGAACCCTGAGCAGACTTGAAGAAGGACTTGAAGCATGAAGGTATTGGAGAAGTGGTGAAGCATCCCTGTGGCAAATGGTTTTCCTAGCTGGTCGAATGATCACATTTTCTAGCTAAGGAGGTTCATTCTTCCTTTTCAATCAGTCAGGTCCTTGTTCGCCCCTCCAGAAGTATGCATATTTTATGTTATATTCCTTTTACCAGAATGCTTTGGAATGAAGGGAATCTGCCCCCCAGCTCCCCAGATTCCCAGATTCGATCTCCAGATCCTGACACTTCACGTCGGCAGGTCCTCCAGAGCGTCGAGAAGACCGGCGAGGGCGGCCGCAGCGGCGGTCGCAGCGGTGCCTCCCGCGGCGACCGCTGAGGCGGGACATGGACAGGAGCTGTTCGCACGGCCATGACTGGCAGTGGGCCAACCAAAAAGTAGAGTTGCATGGTTCTCCTCCGGTTCTCCTCCGGTTCTCCGGGTACTCGGAAGCAAATCCAAGGAGGTCGCCAATCCTCTCATTGAGGATGTGTGGCCCACCCAGCATTAAAAAGGAGTGGAGAATCGAGAATATCAAAGGGATTTGCCCAAGAGGTGTTGCAGGATTCTGACCTTCAAGTGCCCTCAAGCCTCAGGCTTTGATTCTCATTGTTGAACAGAGATTGATTGGCCTGCCCACATGGAAGAGGTTGGTGCACTGTCACTAAACTGAACTTATCTACCATGGGGACCGAGTCTAAAAGCTGGACAAGACACATCGAGGAGAGAGAGTTCAATTTACACCTGGGTGGAACATTTTTATTATTATCCTTTTTCTACATAGACACACAGACACAGACACAGACACACACACACACACACTTATGGATATGCGTACTGACTTGACAGCGGTGCCACACGCCGGCCTAGGTTAGTTATAAGGCCTGAGATACCAGGAAATAGTAGGTTAAAGGCCAACGGTTTGGGTTTGAGGTCAACGTGAGGCTGTTGGGGCCAAGACCTAAGGTTGGAGGCCATCGCTAGTAGG